ATGGAAACTAACGATCTAAATATTTTCTTAGTAGAGTTATTATTTTTAGTTTTTAAAATTTATTTATTTATTCACATTCATGATCTCCATATTAGAGATTACAAGTCCTTAAAAATTAAGTCTTAAAATCCATCTCAAAAATAGATTTATTAAGAGGCCCACACTTCTACATATGCGGGCTTGGCCGCATAAAAATGGGGTCGTATAGAAATGGGGTCCTTTTCTTAATAGAATTATTATTTTTAACTTTTAAAATTTATTTATTTTTTCATATTCATGATCTCCATGTTAGAGATTACACGTCCTTAAAATTTAGGTCAAAAAATCCGTCTCAAAAGTAGATTTTTAAGAAATGACTCATTTCTACATGTACTCATAGAAAATGTGTCCCATCCATATAATATTATTTATATGGTCATTATCAACTGTCCGAGATACGGATGGAGGGATACGTATGTGAAATTCAGTTACTTGAGTATATAGTGAAAACTATTCCCTCCATCATCGTCCAACCCATCGATTGCACTTGATGAACTAAATGATGATGCTTGTAACCATATCTATATGGCTCATATAGCTTTTTCCTAATGTAATCATTATCAACATTGATTTTGCTTATACTTTCTAGTCATATAATCATATAGTATTAACTAATCTTTGAATCTCTCTTAAGATTTTCATTAATGGATGATTCCTATAAGCCATTTTTTATGGCCCATATGATCATCATAATACTATGACGAAGGGTTTGCAAAATAGAACCGGAAGGGTTAACCGGACGCGGGCTCGGAACCGATTTAACCAGCCTAACTGGTAAACCGGCCAATTTAACCGCTTTAATCAGGCAAGTCCCATACGATAAAAAAAGTGTTAAAAAAATAAAAAAGATGCAAAAACAAATTCTATTAAAATATGAAAAGTATATAAAAAATGTGATTAAAACAAAACACACTCAAATGAAGATGAAAATTAATAATAAAAAATAGATTTTAACGAATCGATTTATGCCTATTTTTAAAATTTTCTGAAAAAAGATGGGAAAATATAAAAAGTATCATTGACCAAAATTTTTTTTAATCTTTACCATAATGTAAAGGATATTAAAATAGGGTTAAAAAAATTGACTTGACCAAGTCTTTTTTTTAAAGAAAATGAAGAAAAAATTAAGTTATATATAATATAGGCCCTTTTTTTTGTCAATTAAGTAGTAAATGGTGTATTGGTTAGTGGGTCTAACAATAGAAGGCTTATTTCAAGTTCAATTCAATTAGGTAATAATTTTTTTGAATCAACAATAACTTAAAAAGAAAAAATGCAAAACGTTTAAAAAGGAAAATAGATAGGGAGAACGCAAAACGCTTAATAGGAGCAAGATTCAAACCATGATTCACATGCAATTTAACCGTCAACCGTAAAAACTAACCAATAAACCATTCTAATATATTTGATATAAATTTGAAGTAGTACCATATCTAAAGTTTAAAAATATTGGTTGATCACCAAAACCGCCCAAAACTGGAACCGGCCACTGGCCGATTACGATCTAACCGGGCGGTTAGCGGTTAGATCGGCCGATTTTGCAAACACTTATATCGAGGACTAATTTAAAACCAAAAACGACAAAAGAAAAAATAATAATAATAATAATAATCATATGTGCTTTATTCATGCTTATTAAAAAAAAAATCATATGTGCATTATTCGAGCAATTTTTTTTCTTGACAAAAAAGAAAAAAACTATAAGAAATTTGTAATTCCTACAAAAGAGAATAAGAAATTTCAGATCCTCTTACTCAAGACATGCACTTGGACCATTAAAAACCAAAACCCAAAGTTCCTCTCTCTCTCTCTCTCTCTCCGTGCTAAATAAAATTTCATTGAACATGAAAAAGACATACAAAACAAACACAGATGACATGAACATATTGCACAACAGACTTACATCCAAACAATACAAGCACCTAATAAGATTACACACCCAATACTACATTCTTGCACACTTCCTCACACTCTAATCTTCTAAAACTGGTTATATAACTATAAACTCATCACCTATTTCTTCTGGGAAATAAATGTTGCAATCGCGTGATCAAAATCTCAGCGATGAAGTCCATGACTTTGAGAATTGCATTGTTCCATTTCCTTTTAATGGCTAGAACTAAGTACCATCCTCCAAATCCATTCCCAAAGCGCAAGCCCGCACTAATCCAAAATTGCCGGACCTCTGGTGACCCGGTTCTCAAATCCCCAACATTGTTAGATATTGGACTATCACACTTCGTAGGAAGAGGAGGACCACAAAGATTTTCGTTTCCATAGTACGTTGAGGCATCATCGAATGTGCTCATGTGGCCCGCAAAAGGAATTGGACCTGACAAAATGTTGTAGGACAAGTTCAATGTGCCCAAATAATTCATAGATGACATGCTTAGAGGAATGCCACCAGAGAATAGATTGTTCGAGAGGTCCATCGATTCTAGCTCTTGCAATTGATTAATCTCTTGAGGAATCTTCCCAATCATGTCGTTTCCAGATAGGTTTAACACGCGCAAGCCTATCAATTTTGTCAATGATTCTGGAATTCTTCCCTAGAAATTATTTCTCGAAAGATCTATGCATGTCACAAGAGAGAGAAATTCGGTGTAATCCATCATTGACCCTTTTGCCACTATATAAATGCTCACCATATAATAGAAGCTGTACTTGCGATCGTAATTGTAATCAGCCATCTTCTCTGTAACTTTCATTGCTGTGAAGGTTGATAGTGCCTGAGAGGCAATTTTCAGCAGCATCGAAAACTTGAAGCGAGTATAGACTTGACATAGTCTTAGGAATGGCCCCAATAAGCTTATTAGATCTCAGAGAGAGAACATGAAGTGAGGTAAACTTTGGCCAATCCATGATGGTAAATTTCCCGATAGTTGATTGTCACCAAGATCCAAAACCTCTAGCTGGGTACAATTTTTTAATGATGATGGGATCTGCTCTGATAATTTATTGCCTCTCAACACTAATGTCCTCAAATTTTTCAAGTTTCCCATGGAAGTGGGAATAGGTCCCATCAATTTATTTTTATAAAAATGAAGAACCGTCAAACCCTCCATATTCCCTGTGGAGTTGGGAATAAATCCTGAAATACTGTTATTGGAGAGATCCAAGATCCATAGATTTTGCATGACTTCTCCAATATTTTCTAGAATACAACCAAATATTTGATTGTTTGAGAGATCCAGTTGTTCTAAATTAGGAAGCTTGGCATAAGTCTCAGTTGTTGTCACCAAGTCATAGCATGCAACCTCTCGGATAGTCATTGTGCTCGTACAATGTTTCAAGAATCCTGGCAATAATTTCATGCTTTTGCAAATCTGACGGCGTAGATTAGTTGAGGAGCTGATATTCAACATTTCAAATTTTTGTCCCAAACCCAACCTAGTATTTCCAGAAAAGTTGCGCTAGTTGTATAGAAGTTGAAGTCCTTGAGGGTAAGACGCAGTGTGTATTAATTGGCCTTGAAATCTATTTGAACTTAACTCCATATTAATTATGGATTTAATATTCCAAATCTCAGGAGGATATTAGATAGGTACAAATCGTTTCCTATGGAGGGAGAGAGGGAGGGAGGGATCTGATGAGGTGGTTACTAGATAGATCCAATCCTGTAAGCATGGAAAGGTTTTCTATGGAGGGAGGGAGGGATCATGTGATATTGTTGTCACTTAGCAATAAGTAAGTTAGCTTGGAAAGGTTTCTTATGGAGGGAGGGAGGGATCCTGTGAAGTGGTTTCCAAATAAAAATAAGTAAGTCAGCTTAGAAAGGTTTTCTATGGAGGGAGGGCGGGATCCCGTGATATTGTTTTCATTTAGCAATAAGTAAGTTAGTTTGGAAAGGTTTCCTATAGAGGAGGGGAGGGATTCTGTGAAGTGGTTTTCAGATAGATCCAAATCACTAAGCATGGAAAGGTTTCTTATGGAGAGAGGGAGGGATCCTGTGAAGTTGTTTCCAGATTGATCCAAATCACTAACCATGGAAAGGTTTCCAATGGAGGGAGTGAGGGAGGGGTTCATGTTAAGTGGTTTTCAGATAGATATAAGCCAGTCAGCTTGGAAAGGTTTTCTATGAACGGAGGGAGGGATTCTATGAAGTGGTTTCTAGATAGATCCAATCCTGTAAGCATGGAAAGGTTTCCTATGAAGGGAGAGAGCGATCCTGTGAGATTGTTGTCATTTAGCAATAAGCCAGTTAGCTTGGAAATGTTTCCCATGGAGAGAGGGAGGGAGGGATCTTGTGAAGTGGTTTTCAAATAGATATAAGTAAGACAGCTTGGAAAGGTTTCCTATGGAGGGAGGGAGGGAGGGATCCCGTGAAGTGGTTTCCAAATAGATATAAATAAGTCAACATGGAAAGGTTTCTTATGGAGGGAGGGATCTTGTGAAGTGGTTTTGGCCCGAGGAATGTGCATAGAGTGGTCTTGTAGGACCACCTTAACGAATACTTAAATAATTCACCAATTTCTTTTATTTATTTTCCATTGTCAAGAAGAAATTGCTTTTCCTTGCAGTATAAATATGTAGAGGTAGAGCACTCCCATATATAACACGTTTGGTTCACGTGATAATATTTTTATATGAAAAGACTCTCCTATGTTTATATGAAAAAACTCTCCCACGTGATTCGGTGTGGAAGTTTTACACACTAATTAACAGTCAATC